TAAAACACGGTTGTGTGTGTGTGTGTGCGCGTGTGCGTGTGCGTGTGCATGTATGTATAAATTTATTCATTGATGTTGATGTAATTAAAATGTTTGTTGCCGTTATTTATTGAGTTCGTGGCAATGCCGTTGTCAAGGAGTTTAGAAAAAAAAAAAAAAACAAGTTGCGATGAAATTTTTTTTTTATAAGAGCATTTATCATTTCGTAATTTTTTATTTTTATTTCATTTACATAAGTACGGTAGCGTATTTAATAATAATAATAATAATGATAATAATGATAATATTAAAGTTAATTTCTTTTTTATTTGTTCAACTTTAAACGTAAATATAAATGTTAATCGCGAGGTTAATGAAAAATTTTATTTTTTTTATTTTAGGAAGTCGTTACTCGACCTTAAATTTGCGTAATTTATCATTATTATTATTATGGCAATTAATTTTTTTTTTTCTTTTCGGCCCCGTTATTTTCCGCGTTCGATGAAATTACGCGCGCGTTTTTCCTTTGACACAAAAAAATGAAAAAAAATGAAAACTTTTTTGTTATTATGATTCGATCGGTATAACCTCATTTCCTTTTTGACATTTTTTTATTTATTCTATGACTTATTTTCTAAAGAAAGAGAGAGAGAGAAAGAGAAATTTTTCGTCATGGTAACATATTTGAATTTTATCAACGTTTTATTTTAAATAAGAGGAAGTAATGATGTTGATGGTAACATAATCTTTAAAGACAAGAGAAAGAGAGAGAGAGAGAGACTTTGTAAAATCCTACGACGAGGATGATGATGATGATGATGATGATGAAAAGATTAAGAAAACATTGTTAAACGTTTATTTACGTTTAATAATAATAATAATAACCGTTAAATAACATAAAACGTGAGGATTAAAAAAAAAATTTATAAACGTGATTAAGTTCGTAGGATTAAATATAAATTTTTTTTTTTTTTTTTTTTTTTACATCGAAATCGAATTTTTTTTTTTTAAATTGAAATTCGATAAGGTGAGGGGGTGAGGGGGGGAGGTGGAAAAATTTTTTATAAATAAATAAATCTCAACGAATCGATTATTATTATTATTATTATTATTATTATTAATATTTTTTTAACAAGCGTTTGAGAAAGATCACCTGGAGGAGTAACGTGAAAAAAATTTTTTTTTTTTTTTATTGACATTTTTGACAGGCGATTGACACAACACGTTACAATAATTTTAAATTATAATTATGGTGTGTAAAAAAACGTAACGTTTCGTTATGTATGAAAAAAAAAAAAAAAAATTTACAATTACTGTCATTATTATTATTATTATCATTATTATTAATATAATAATTATTTAATTGTGCAACTGAGAAGTAGAGCAAAAGTTAGGCAAACCCCCTTTTTTTTTTTACAAAACCGCGTACGAGAAAATTAATTAATGAATATTTATTATTAATAAAAAAAAAAAAAAAGGAAAATTTTTTGCTGTCGGATGTTTGCCTGTCTGTTTGTCTGTTTGTTTGTCTGTTTGTTTGTCGTACCTTTTTCTACCGCAACGGTCATTTAAAAAAAAAATAATTAACGTACAAAAAACTCGATGTAAAAAAAAATGAATGAATGAATGAATGAGAGGGAAACGTCGACACGTAAACGATGATTTTTTTAAAAAAACGATAAAAATAATTTTTTTTATTAACTCGTTATTAAAACGAATAATAATAATAATAATAATAATTTATTTATTTATTAATAATAATAATAATAATAATAATAATAATAATAATAATAATAATAATAATAATAATAATAACAACTTACCCAAAACAGAACAAAAAAAAATTAAACAAAAAATCGAAATCGAAAATTTAAAAAAAATGAAATTAAATTAAAAAATGAAAATTTCCGCGGGTTTTTTTTT